CCATGATTTGCTCCAGTTTCTGCTGGTGACCTTAGCTTTATTTGTTGTCTCAGCAGTATAAAGTTATTCTAAGCACAAATAAAAGTAATCATAAATAAAAATTCTGTCCTTCTAAAGCCAGCACTACTATAGTTTCTGCATGCGTTTTTGGCAGTAAGTGACTATCACAATAACACCTAAAAGCTTGGCTTTTTGTGGAGCTCAGTTAACACAAGTGTCTGATACTCTGGGGCTTTGAAATGTTCAGAATCAAATGCAGGGAAGAGCCAAGTTTTTCTTTTTCTTTTTTTTTTTTTTTTTTTTTTTTTTAGATGTTGTCTTGCTCTCTCACCCAGGCTGGAGTACAGTGGTGCAATCTCGGCTCACTGCAACCTCCACCTCCTGAGTTCAAGAGATTCTCCTGCCTCAGCCTTCAGACTAGCTGATATTATAGGTACCCGCCACCATGCCCAGCTAATTTTTTTGTATTTTTTTTTTAGTAGAGACAGGGTTTTACTATATCGGCCAGGCTGGTCTCAAACTCCTGACTTCATGATCCACCCGCGTCGGCCTCCCAAAGTATGGGGACTACAGGTGTGAGCCACTGCTCCAGGCCAGAGTCAAGGTTTTATGTTTGACATTCAGATATTTATTGAGGCTCATGAAAGTCCTTTTGCACTGCAGACAAAACTAGTTAGTTTGCCTTCTTGCTCTGATCCAGAGCTTAAATTCAATGTGGAAATTTAATTAGGGAAGTTATTTTTATAGACCAATTTTCAATTTCTTGCTAAATCACTGATATATTAGAACTAAGATACGGCAATCATTAATGAGTAATCTGATTTGAAAAGAAGATCTAAAAAGGTTGTTATCAGTTTTTAAAACTAAGAAGTTTTACTCTGTAACTGACTTTCCAGGGATAAGGTACACAGACAGTCTGTTCCTATAGCAGCTCTGTGTACACTGTCTTCCACTTAAATGTCCAGGTTATTTTCAAGATTTCTATGACAACCTAGCTATTGCCATATAAAATATATGTTATAAATGTTTGAGATCATTTTCCTTCTATTCTCTTGCAGAGCTACACATTAGAAATAATCGATTCTGACCACACCTTCATAGGGAGAATTGCAGTATAGGATTTCATTCCAAACACCTGATTGAGCATGCTTAAAACATCCTTTGAAAAATCAGCTTTTTCTAAGACCACGTCAGATAAAAATGGATGTTTATGAAGCAACGCTTGTGTGATTTTAATCTCTTCAAACTGTGCCCTCATGCTAGCAGGGATTATTTTGTGCCTTTTGTTGCCAATAGAAAATTATTACCTTGAAGTTACAAAATGCCTAAATTCTTCCCATAACTAATATATTTGTAAGTCTTCTATTAAATCATGGTTTGGAAGAAAGTTATTTCATGTGCATATATATGTGTGTTCGTTTATATACTGCCACCAAGATAAACATTCACTTTCATAAAAGAGGTGGAATGGGATGAGTTGGAATGAATGATATCCAGACATGAAGAGGAGAAGCATGTTTCCTTGTCAATAATGTATTGACCTATGTTAGTCATTTCAGGGTTTCATGCACATCGTGGAATGTCAGAATGAACGGTATTGATGTAGTTCAGCTGGACTGCCAACCCTGGTTTCTAAAATCCAAGTCGTGTTTTTCACCTATACCACTATTTCCTCAACCTACTCGATTAGAATCACTTTGATGACAGGACCTAGGAAGCTGAATTTACTCCAATTGAAAAGAAGCTCCCTTTACCTCCACTCCCTCAAAATCCCAAACATTTAGTTTGGATATACTCCCAGGATGAGAACCACTGATATAGTGGTAATGTTAAGCAATACTTCTCAAACTTTAGCAAGCATCAAAATCACTCAGAGAGCTCATTTCAAAAGCGTCCTAGGTCACCTCTCAATGATTCTGAATTCAGCAGTCTAGGATAGAGACCATGAATTTGTAGTTCTAACAAGTTTCCAGAGGATGCTGATACCGCTGGTCTAGGAATCACACTCTGAATTGCAATATTAAGGACAGCATGGCCATTATTGGTTGCAAAGACTTGGAGCAGAGGAGCCCTAATTCTCAAAGCTGGTGGTAGTGGGGCATAATATCAGGGAACATGTGTGAGGGGAGAACTGTAGGCTTTGTTTTCACTTGGGGTTAGATTATTCCACTACAGTTGACAGTGCCAACAAACAACTCTAGTTAAAAACTGGGCCATGCCAGCTGAAGCATCACTCCAATGCCTGTGATGCCTGTGATTTGGCTGATCTAGACTCTGGCTGGTCAGAGTTACAGCTCTGCCCCTTAGTTCCCATCTGGGGTACGGACTATATTTTGAGCAAAAATCTCTTCTTCCCAATGTTCTTTCAAATGTGACCTTGCCATATAGAAACCAACTTTTTCTGGTTTCCCTGGGATTTTCCTAGTTTTAAAATAGAGAGACCCATGCCATGGTAACACTCTAAGGCGTGAGGAAACAAAGAAGTTTTATCACTCTACCTTACCATTTCCTATGAAAAAAGATAGTCTACTTCCTCTCCCCTATAATCTTGGTTGTCCTTAGTGCTGGTAGACTGTTCCCAAAGTGATGCTATATGACTTGCAGATCTATGTCAAAAAGGCTGTGTGACTTCTGTTATTTTCTTGGAACATTTGCTGTTTAGAAGCTTTCTTCTGGGACACTCCCTTTCAGAAAGCAGAAGCTGTGTTGTGAAGTCAATCCCATGTAGAAAGCCCACATGTAGGTGTTCTGCTTGACAGTTCCAGGTAGGGCAGGCCTTCAAGTAATCAAGCCCAGCGGTAGACATGTACGTGCAGGAGCTGCTGGGTGACTCCCTTCCACTCGCTGAAGTCACCTCCAATCTTCAAGTCTCGGCTATGTCCATAGACATGGTGGAGCAAAAACAAACGGATCCTACTATGCCCTGGATGAATGTGGTAACGTAAACTATCAGTAACCATCATTTTATTCTGTTCGTGACAAGAATTCATTTTACTCTGCTCATGAATTTTTGTCATGAGCAGAATAAAATGATAGTTTATGCCTCCAAATTTGAGGTAATTACACACCAATAGATAATCACAACCCTACCTAATCCAAAGGGTATCATCTTTGTATCTATTTTGACTTGACTTTGTCAAGACTCTAGCTCATTCAAGCATACTTTCTCAGTTTAATTATCGAACCCATTAATTCCTTGATTCAATGCAACCCTCCAACCCAGTCTTTCAGGATTCTTTTCCAAACAAACATTTATGAGCACTAAACATTGAGCAGGCACTACCATAAATCTATAACCCAAATTATGTGATTTAATCTTCACAACAACCTGTGAAATTATTATCCCCATTTCCCAGATGTCTAAATTCACATCTTATAAGGACTGGATCATGAAATCAAATACAAGCCTTATTCCCAAATGCTTGCTTCTAACCATCATGATACACACCCCTACTCTCAGCTTTCTCTGGTCCTTCCCTGGTACTTCTGAAACTTGTTTTCTTAATAAACAAGTGGATACAATTGCTCTGCTGCATCTATCCTATTTCAAAATTGTGTTTTCTGGCACAAAGCAGCACCCTACATCCTCACTATACTTGGAAATAGATTTCAATATTTCCTACGTAGAAATGTTCACTTTGACACAAAATGATGAGTGATTTAACACGGTAATATTTGGCAGTGTCGCTTAGGAGAAAAAGAAAAGACTTAAGGATCAGACCGAACGTGGTTCCTATCCTGGCTCTATCACTGTCTATTGCTGTTAAGTTACCTTGCACTTGCTGAGGCTCAGTTTTCTTATTTGTAATAAGAGGAGGATGATGATAATAACAACTATCTAATAATATTATAATGATCATTAAATGAGAAGGTATAAAACACCAAGAAGAGTTATTGCCATACGACAGGCACTCTCATGGCAGTTGTCAATAATATGAAGAGGCTCTGAGACATGACTGCACTAGAATGAGGCATTTCACTCACAACTTAGCTGCAGCACTCAGGGGAAGGACCGCAGATGGAGTAGAGTGGATAAGAATTGTATAATGCTGGCAACAACAAAGGGGCCCAGATACTGGCATCGGCACACTGTATTGATGCCAGCATCATAAAAGTCTTCTACTCCACCCCGATGCAGAGAGATAAAAGGATTAGTTGGCAGTGGCTATTACTCAATCTCTGCTTGTGGGCAAATTTGTTCATTTTCCGATCAGTAACGCAAATAATTCCACATTTCTTTCCATCTCTGATAATTTGATTTTGGACAATGCTAGTCAAGTAAAAGGGCTTACATTTATCTCTATATTGTTAAAGAAAAAGACCATAAAAGAGGTGAAGTGATGGAAAAATGGGACTGTTGTTCAGTTCAGGTTTCTTAAGTTGGTTGTAGAGAAGGAACAGAACAACATACATGCACGCACACACACAAAACACAACTGTGTTTCTTAACTTGAAGCTACGTGTTGGAAAGCACCTGGGGAGCTTTTAACAATGCCCAGCCAACCGAAACCTACCGAATCAAGGCTCTCTGCGAGGAACTCTGGAGCATGCCCTGTAGCAGAAGCTTTGTTTCAAGAGAGCGAACACTGATATACACCTTTGTCTTTATTTTTTTTCAGGTGAGTATAGGATTTTTATTTTGAAGGTTATCATGTCACTTGTAGTATAGTATTGTTATTTTGTTAACCTGAAAGCAGGTTAGCCCGTATTTCTCAAACTCAGACAAGCATTGGAAAAAGACAACATCATTTATTTCTTTAACATAAATAATTAGGCACTGACTAGCTTCTCTTAAAATTGGTTTTCCTGATGAGATAACCGGCTCTGTTTAGTGCTTCCATATTTAGTAAGAATAATGTCACTTTAGAACTGCATATCACAAAAATAGATCATTATCGCAGATCCATAGTCTCAGTTATTCCTCAGCATTCAATCCCAACTAAGTTGTAAATATGTTCTGATAGTGTTTTAAAACTTATTGACATTTAAATTTCTTCTATATCTTAAATAACTGCATGAGGCTACTGTTGTTTCGATCTCATGCTTTTTGACAACTTACACATTGTAAAAAGAAAAAATGGCATTGAGTCAATGTCAAGTTTGGTTCACTAAAACCTACCTAATAATTAGGAGCTTTATTAACAAATGTGCTTTTAATGAATCATTTTTCAATGTCACAGAATTACAAAAACAAAAACATTTAACACCATTATTCATGACTGGAGTATAACAAAATCAAATCTAGTCACTAATTTGCCATATTCCCACTACAGATATTTTTATTATTATTTGATTTGCAAATTACTTCAAAGATTCTAAGTAATTCACTTAGTTGCCTTTCTGCTTATCCAAATTAATATGGAAAAAAAAAAACAAAACGTCCCACAACTTCAGGTATTAAATCAAACACCTCTAATAGGGAGGTATTTACAATTTTGCTAACCATCCATCCCTTAAACAGGCTTTTCAAATGCCAGCTCTATTCCAGGTGGTACATTTACACTAAGCACTGAAAAATACACAGAAGACTGGGATGAATCCAGAAGTGTTCACAGGATAGTACATACGCATATATTTCATAAATTTAATATATGAATTAAACAATGGTATAGGCTTACTCATCACAATTCAGGATTGGTTTTGCCTTCCAAATCTCTTTTGCTGACTCTGATCTTTTAAATTTTAATGGTCTCCTAGCCATAACCTAGTCATCCTTTCTTCTCCATCAATCCAAAGAGGTGATTGCATTCATAGCCATCACTTTAGGCTTTTCTCGATATTGAATAACAGAAAACTCCCATTTCTCAGTCAGACTTCTTTCTAGATCAGGGGTCGGCAAATAAAGAACTATGGGCCAAATCTGACCCACTCTCTGTTTTTGTTCAGCCCACAAGTAGGGAATTTTTTTTCCATTTCATAATAGTTGAAAAAACAAACAAACAAAAGAAGACATATACTTCAAAATGTGACAATTATATGACATTTAAATTTTAATATTCATAAAGTTTTAATGGAACATAGCCGTGCTCATTTGTTTATATATTGTCTGAGCTACAACCCCAGAACTGAGCAGTGAGGGAGGCCTTACACAGCCTGCAAAGGCTAAAATGTTTACTATCTGGTGTTTTGTAGTAAAAGTTTGCCAAGTCCTGCTCTAGATCATTTAATTTAATGCCATTGGGCATGCTTCCTTTGCATCCTGCAGGTATTACAAATTCAATATGCAAAAACTTAATTCATTATCCTTTCCCACAAAGCAGCTTCTGTTCCTTTCAATAATGAAAGGTTATTTGTGACCTCTTCTTTACACTTAACCACCTACCAATGATCAAGTTCCCAGTGATTCTGCTTCATTAAAATTTCTCACATTTGTCCTCCTCTCTATTAATTATTACTAAACCTCAATGTAAACCTCCCAAATGGACTATTAAAACAATTGTGCTATTAGGTGGGCATGGTGGCCCTTGCCTGAAGTCCCAGCTAATCAGGAGGCTGAGGCAAGAGGATAGCTTGAGCCTGGTGAACTATGAATGCACCACTGTACTTTGGACTGGGTGACAAAGCAAGATTTTGACTCTAAAAGACAAAGAAAGAAGAAAGAAGGGAGAGAGGGAAAGAAGGAAGGAAAGAAGGAAGGAAGGAAAGAAGGAAGGAAAGAAGGAAGGAAGGAAGGAAGGAAGGAAGGAAGGAAGGAAGGAAGGAAGGAAGGAAAGAAGGAAGTTGATTCTCAGACACAGTTCCAAGTTCTAAGAAAGAAAGGAAGGAAGAAGGAAGGGAAGAAAGAAAAGGAAAGGAAGGGCAGGTCAGGACAGAGAAGTGCAGAGCAGGGAAGGGCAGGGTAGGGAAGGGGAGGGAAAAGAATGGAAAAAATAAAGAAGAGAAAGAAGGAAAGAAGGAAATAAAGAAAAAATCACAGACATAAATAGTTCTTTGAAATTTTATTTATTATTGATTTTCGTAGAGGTGGAGTCTGGCTATGTTGCCCGGGCTGGTCTCAAAGTCCTGGATTCAAGTGATCCTCCCACTTCAACCTCCCTAAGTGCCAGAATTATAGGTGTGAGCCACTGTCTATGGCCAGTTCCCTGAATTTGACAGACTGCTTCATGCCTCTGACTATACGTAAGTTTTCCCATCTCTTTCGGGATAGTGAGATATGTTTCAGTTCTGGACTCACCTGCTCTGTAAAGCCTTTTTCAACTGTCTCCTATATTCTGGGATTAATGACTCCTTTTTCAATGTTCTCAGAGAACCCCGACAAAGAGTTTACTTAATTACTCTTTTAATTATATACCCATTGCCTTCTACTGTAACATTTTCAAAATTAGGAACTAGGTTTATATCCCTACAGTCTAGAAAGTGGTAGGTATTAAATAAATGGTGATTGATAAAAAGAAAGAAATTACGCCTGTCACCATTTAGGTGAGTATTAGGCAATTATTCTTTTCTTCATTAATAGCTCACAATCCTCATGAAATTTTGAATGGTTTAAGGTGAGTTGTTAGTCTCCCTATGTTTAAGCCTGTCAACAACATGCTGATATCAAAAAGAACGTAAGTCTCATGATATTTTCAATAACCCCAGTTAATTTTTAAAAAGTGAAAAATAATCTTTATCAATATATCTGTATTCTTTATCTACAGTTAATCCATTCACTAAACAATGGATTTTAAGTCAGAATTCTTATCTGTGGAAAAGCAAGCAAACACGCACATTACATTCTTCAAAGATTTTTCTAGCTTTGATTGCTTCCAGAAAATATTCTTCAATATAAAAATGTCAACTCCATGAATCTGATATTTTGGTCTCTTAATTTTATTTCTTTTTCTGTGTAATTAACTTTTTATTTTACAGTTTAAAAAGATGATAGTTCCTAGTTTATTACACAAAACTTGCAACTACAGAGAGGTCCCCTAGAGCCAGCACCCAGTTTCTATTTTTAATATCTTACATTAACATGGCACACTCGCCTCAACTAATTAACCCGTATTAATAAGTTAAATAAACACCACAGTTTTTAAAAAGTTCATTAGCTTTTCCTCATGTCTTTTTTCTGTCCCAGAATCCCATCCCAGATACTACATTACATTCAGTTATCATATCTTCTTAGCTTCTCTGTTCCGTGACACTTTCTTACACTTAGCTTATGTTTAAGACCTTGAGCAGTGCCGGTCAGCTATTTTGCAGAAATTTAAATTTTTGTTTGTCTGATGTCATTTTCTCATGGTTATACTGAGACAGTAGGATTTTGGAAGGATGACCACACAGGTGAAGTATCATTTTGATCACATCACACTCAGGAGTAAGTACTACTAATTCGGACTATCACTAATGATGTTAAACTTCATTATTTGACAAAGACAGCATTTTCTAAGTTTTTTTTCTCAGCTGAAAACTTACTTTTTTTCCCTTTCCACACTGTATTCTTTGGTAGCAAGTTACTAAGTGCAGCCTACACTGAAGACGTAGTGATAAAGCTCCACCTCATTAGGAAGTATCTGCAAAAATTACTTGGAATTCTTTCCTACAGATTTGTCTCTTTTCCTTCATGTATTTACTTACTCCAACATTTATTTGTATCAGTAGGAACTCATGATTATTTATTTTATGTTCTAGGGGATAATCCAATATTACATTATTTAATTTGTTGCATACATTTTTCAGGTTTTTCATGGGAGGTCTTTTAGATTGACTGTTTCTATTTCACTTTGACGTATTCCTATCAAAATATTTTTGAGCACTTCCTTACTTTCTGGTGCTACAAGATGCTCCAGATTTATTTTGCATATTTCACGCTCTAGCCTTAGAATCAGCCATCTCTCCAAGGAGGCTGGCGTTGTCATCAGAGAATCCCGTTAGGAAACAAGACACAGGTGCTGGATGGTTTCTTCTATTTCCTACTTTTACTTCAATTCTGTGAGGAGGAAAGTATTGTCCCAGAAAACTCTGGATGCCCTCCAGTACAATTTCACCACTCCTTCTAAAGAATAGGAATAGAAGCATATTCACACACATATATAATTCTACCAATAAAGATGCAATAAATTCCCAGATGCTCTGGCCTACAAAAATGCAAAGATAGAGGATTTCTTAGAAAATAAACTGAACTGTATTTGCAGTTGATAACTATCATTTATCAACATCTGTAACTACTGGAAAAAATAGATATGCTTGCAATGACAAGTAACAGATCTCTTAAGTTCAGGCAATAGAAAAGAGGCTATAAATAAAAACAATTATGTTAGGGGATCATTACACCTCATGCTTCTCACATCTGGCTCTCCCTTGTTGAGCTTTACAAATGAAACCTGTCTTTTAGGACTACGACTGGGAAACCTGGAAAGTAAGACTAAATCTCAAATATTAGGACCCATATGTAAACATCGACTTCAGAAGTGCAAATCACGTAGTTAAAGAGACACAGCTTTAGAAGGTGGCTTTCAAGTAACACTCTTGTTTGGGTAAGAGACTGAGGACACAAACACAAACACGCTTCTTTAGTGTTTCTAGGGCAGAAATGTTCTTCAACACAACTCAAGTAATAATAAAACTCTGTAGCCAGAAAGTGTTTTTAAATTCCAAGTATTTTAAATTTCCAAGTATTTTCATAGCCATTATACTAAAGCTCTGCAGTCAAAAGTGAAATTAAGTAGTAAAACATAAAATAATTAGCTGATGGTATGGGAAGGGAAAATCTGAGTAATATTTCACCCTCCCTGGAAGTTAAACTGTGATATACTAAAAAACTAAAAAACATATTTATTCTTCAGCCTTGGTTCTTATCATAGGTCTCCTAAAACCCTAGAATTTCCTGAGTAGCAGGAATGTCTTTTGTTGTTCATAAGGGACCCCTTTAAACACACCTGAGTTTATGCTAATGGAGTGACCCAGGGTGGGACCCTAATGGCTTCAGGATGGGGGCTGGTCATCAGAAAGACCAAACAAAGGATTCCAAGTTAGGGAATTTCACCCAGGAGCCCTGAGTCCACACCTGGGGAGGAGGGGGAGGCTGCTGTGAGCAAAGATCATACCACTGAACTCCAGCCTGGGTGACAGAGTGAGATTGTGACTCAAAAAACAAAACAAAACAAAACAAACCACAGTCATGCAAAGAGGATAAACTATTGAAAAGAACACCTCTATAGCACCAAAG